AAGATCTATTTCTATAAAAAATTTCAACTTTCTATCTCAAAGGGTGTAGACGTTTTGTTAACAGACACATGAACAGACTTGCGGAAAAGCGCTTATTAATTTCACAGGAGAAAATGAAATTAATAAGTAATTTTTTAACAATTTTTTTTTGAAAAGTGCTGAAGCTATGTTTGCATTTACTGTTATAGTGTACGTAGAACATATGCAGTAAATTGTATTAAATATTGTTATATTAAAAAATACCAAATTGATCATATTTATAACTAATTAATAATTTCTACCCAATTTTATTGAGTATAGCAAGAATTAACAATAAGAAAATTGTTATTTTCTAATCGTGTTTGTGCCTTATTTTGAATACATACGCATAATAATTATGAAGACAATATACATACTCGTATACTTTAATAATATGCTGAACAAATAAAAATTCAAATCCCAAAAGAACCAAGTAATATTAAATTTTATATCAATGTTAGTATCAAATAATTCCAACAATTTGATACAAAAAATTTCAAATAAGAATAATAAAATTCAAAAAAAAAATAAAGTCAACTAAACTATCAATTTCAAAAACTTTAAAGCTGAAGAATCACAGCAAATAAAAATTGATTATGACCAAAATTTCAAATTCGATCAGTTTCAATTAAAATGATAATAGTAATTATTTAATAATAAGTGTAAATTTTATCTTAACACTTCCTTAAAAAACTGGTATGTTTTAATATGTTATATACATAGATATTGCACCGTGATACGGAAACTGGAAACAAACGACGCAGAGCACTCAGATTTATATTCAGTATATTCTGTAATTCAAATGACTAACTATTAACAATATTAACAATATTGCCTTTTCATTTAAATAATATTTATTATATTACATAAATATCTAAATGAAATATATCAATAGGGTGTTCCCAGTAATGGGGGTATAAATATACCAACGTATAGATCTTTCAAAAATTTAGAAAAGAAATCCCCATGCTAAGTTGTTTACTCAATACTGTTGACAGATATCATCCTCAACCCTAATGTTCAACTTAGATCGATTGGAGTAGAATTGGGTAAACACAACCACACATTGCCTTCATAAAACCGGCTTTGCTTTGAACACAGGATTCACATAATCAACTCCCTGCGCCACATGTCCATCAGCTTCAGGTATGGCCGCGCGTTCCACAAGACTACCGAGCAACAATCATGCTAATCTTAGACGAACGGCAAAATCACCTTCTTCCCGAGAGTATCAATTAGGACGGAATGGCAAAGCATCTGAAGAGCCTTTCTGTTATATTATCCTCTTTAAAAGCTAAAACTTTCCCATCTTTTCAAAATAGAATTTATAGCCTCCTAAATCGGTTTCGATATAGATAAATATTGTGAAATAATGATTTCCACGCCCCACTATAAGACACCCTGTAAACATAATTTTGTTAGTATAGATATATAATGAATATATGCATATTTCTATGTATTAGTTTACGTGTTGTGAACTATAAACTCATAATATATTTTACAAATACGCATTTCAAATAGATTAATCATCAATTTCCATCTTATTACGTTTTCAGATTTTTGATAAAATTTATCAAACTTGTTGTCAAATTTAATACATTTACACATAAATTTATTTGCAATCAAAATTTTTATAAACATTGTAATTTTTTACATTTTGTTTTGTGTTGAAAATGTTGTTTTTAAATTAATTATTTCGTATGTGTAAAAATATGAAAACCTTTCAGAAGTAAATACATTATTTTTATTATAGAAAGAATTTCCCGTTTATGATAGGTACACTAAATTGACCTGACTCTATAAATTTAATGAAAGTTGTATTTTCAATCAATATGTTTTCACCTAAGAGCACGTGGAATCAAGCCTGAAAAGCAATGAACGATGTAGACATAAAGATTAGACATATGATTTAATATGTAATTTTATTATATACGGTAAATCCGGAGCTGCGTGCAATTAGAATATACTTATTTGAAAATATATGCGTGCTATATCAAAAAAAGTGTGAACGATATTCGTTATATGCGCGTATTTTTAATAGATGTGATAAGACAAAATTTTTGTTCAATTTGAAGTTAATAATTAAATCGACACTCTACCGTCGTTCGTCATTGCATTAGTTACAGTCTTATATAGTTTTCACCATTTCAGGTATCCTAAAATACTCTGATCAACGTTTTTTGTTATTATTTTAGCAAAATTCTGTATAAATCAAAACATGTTACATAATAAACAGACGTATACATATCATGAGGTTACCAATAAGAGAAAAGAAGAAAAAAAATAACACAAAGTAAAATTTGACTGACTTAACAAAAATCAAAGATTTTTCACCGCTTTGCTGATAAAAAAATTTTGTATTAAACGTTATGATTTTCAATTCATTGATTAAATAAATTTTTAACGTGAATAATGTATCACACATGTATATGAAATAACTTAATTAATGAAATTTTTTTAATACATATTAATACCTTAGATTTGTGTGCTTAATTCAGATAAATACAAAATAAATCTCACAGAAATGTTTTTATTATTAATTCATTAAACATCTTAAAACCTGTGTTGTAAATTTTTTTCAGATCTTTAAAAATTATAACTAATTTATTTGAAAGATAAGCTTTCAGACTTAAAATCAAATTTTTTTTTATTAAAAATTTTATTGAGGTTAGCAATTCATATTTTCACCTGCGATTTTAAAGACAAACAGCCTGTAGTAGAATCTCCAAAACTAAAAAAGTTTTCAGTCTAAAGAATAAAACGTATTTTGTGATTTAAAAAACCAGGGAAATTTTTAATTGGAAATTAGAAAATAATTTATACATGCGCCTAAAATGTATTCGCACGTATAACTCGAGAAACCATATAAAGGATGTAATGTAACAACTGGAATAGGTTCATTAATTTAAAAATATGGAAAAATAAATTTCAAGCATAAAGTATTTTCGTACATATACAGTAGACAAATGGATGACAATGACCTTAAGTTTATAAAAATTATCAGTTATTTAACCGTCAGGATTCAGCCTCTTACTTTATTTTATATCCAAAAAATTCATGATTTCAAGATTTAAAAATTTTTTCTATACTTTGCTAAAATAAATTAGAATATTTTAGCAAGGTATGGAAAAAATTCATACAATAAAAAATTATTGCATACTTTCCGGAGAAAAAACAATAATTAAAAAACCTTTATTTAAATTTCAAAATTCTGCGCCGAATTAGGTAAGACAATTATATCATTTTTTTAGAGAAATATTTACAGAGAAAAACAGAAAACTGAATTTATACTAATATTAATTGACAATAACTTGGAAGGAGAAAAGAGCAGAAAAAAAAATAACTTATACAAAATAATTTGTTTATTAATATCAAGAAGATCCTAAAATTTCACAGTCTTACATCTTACCTTTTAATTACCGAATTATTAAAATTATCCGCCATTTTACTATTGTAATTTTTGACTACTCTGTTCCAGAGCCGAAGAATCAAGTCACTACTTTTCTACGGTTTCAGGATTTTTCAGGATCAGGAAAAAACATTTTAGGTTTTGGTACAATAAATTGTCCAAAAATATAATTTGATATTTTTTAAAATGTCATCTTTTTAGGATATTAAAGTGTTTTAAACGACAGACACCCAGAACGTTATGAATTTAGAGTGTCGTACATGCCCTTAAACAGTGCACCACAATTAGTGTAACTATTTAAATTTGTAAGATTACTTGTGTGTCATATGTGACGCATAGCCTATGTAAAATATTCCGAATTAATGTGAAATCCTTAAAAGTATTACATCAAATTAAACGTATGGAAAACGTATAAAAAAATTATTCATGTAATGTTTTTTGTATACCTAAGCACATTACATAACAAAAAACATTTCAAAACGTTTTTACCGAACGTATAGAAAACGCATTAAAAAGCTTGTTAACGTTTTCGATTTTTTGTTTCAATACATCTTTTCATCTAATTTAAATATTGTCATTATGTTTCACATTAATATGAATTTGATACACATACATTCACACATATGTAATTACATTTATTATTTTTGATATTTTCTGTGAATCGAATAATAATTACTTAATGCCGTCCATAGACATACATACGTTAAAAAGAGAAAGAAACAAAATTGATAGCGGAACCAATAAAATTTCTGATGCTTTTAAAACAAAATTAAAACACATTTTTTTTTATGCTCGGAAACTAGGTTATTTGTGTACGATGATCTTCACGTGAGAAAATCATTTACAATGCAATATTATTCAAATTGAAATAGAAAAAAATTTTCTTTTTAAATATAAAATTGAAGATCAAATGTTTGCTACTAATATTGCATAACAAGATAAAAAAAAAAATTTGTAAGAAAAATCAAACGAAAGTGTTGTTAAATGGCTTAACTGTATTATGAAGATAATTTATTTGGATTGAACGTTGTGCTTTAAAGAAATAGCAAATGTATTAGTGAACTTTTAATCAGATTTTCTCTTTAAAAATTCCCTGACGTTCGTTGGTCAATGTCGAATTTATTGAAAGAGTCTGTTGAAATTTTGACTTCTTAAATAATTAAGCCATCAAAACTTAGTCAATACTGTGATTAAATTACTATTACACTATTAGACTTACATCACAATAATACAATATGCCAACTTCACTAACTTTTAATACTAAAATTATTAAAATAAATTCTGCTCAGCAACAAATTGGACATATTATGGATTATTAGTAAATAATTTATAAAATTAGTAAGTCCAAAGGAGTTATTAAACAAATTGGAAAAAAAGTAACCTTTGACAATCTTTTACAACTTCATTTTTCTTGATTTTCCTTTAAGTACGTGCATTATCTTCACCTTAAGTAACTATTTTCTAATTGGATTAATCAAAAAAAATTTATAAATTTGAAGTTGAAAACTTTTAACAAAGAAATAAAATTATTTTTGTTTAAAATTTTTATTCAGCTTTTTTAAGTAAAAAATTTTTAATTCATATTTAATGATATACAATCAGACATTTTGGTTTTAGTCCAATATGAATTCTTTTCACAGCGATCTTTTTTATATAAGCATTCATTTGAAAATATTTTATATTTTTCGCCATCAAAAGCACAAACTGGCCAAAATATTCTCTTGCACGCAGTTGGACATTCTTCTTCTTCTGCATCATCATAGTTACCATTATCTCCATCTATCTCTTTTACTGGTAAATCTAATTTATATCCTAATTTTTGATTGCATGTTTGCATACGTAATGGAGCCCAAGCACTTGACTGCAAGCAATTAGCTACTTCTAAATCGCATTCATTTCCAAATACAGCATATTCTTCACCATTAAAAGCACATTTCGGATCATAATTTAAAGGACATTCTCTGTTACAATCTTCAGCATTTCTACCTCTCTTACATTTTTCCATATCAACTTTTGAATATTCTAAATCAAATAAATTTTTGAATCTGATGTCAAAATTTAAAAAAAAAAGGCTTTCTTATATCTACTTACTAGCCTTATCTTTACATGCTTGCCTTGCTAAAACGCAACCATTTTTAAACAATTGAGGATTATTGTTTTTACTTTTAGCACAAATTGAACGTTCAATATTTGGACATGCAAAATTACAATGATCAAGCATAAATGTTCTTGGCATTAAACATTGTTGCATTGGAACTCCAATTAATTCTACATAAAACAAATTTTTTAATGTTATATCTTAAAAAGTATAAAATTTATGTCTTTAAACTCACTATAACCAAATGTACAATTAGATCTTAATAATTCACAATCATCATTATAAACATTATATGTTTTGCCATCAAAAGCACATACTGGTTCAGAAGCTTTCAAAGTACACGGTACATTACAATCCTGTAGATGGGGTAAATTGCTAGGACCGTATTGACTAATATCACTTTGTCCAGCAACTGCAAAAAAATAATTAATTGGAAATTAAAACTTCGAACCCGCCCTATTAGTTAAAATTTATAACCTGTAGCGATTAGGCAAGACGCCAATAAAATTTTCCACATTATTTGTTACTATATCGAAATACCGCTTTGAATTCAAAAAATTTTATATTTAACATTGAAAAAATATAATTGATGAAGAATCTTTTATAGCTTTTAATTTAGCAACTTAATGTATTTTTGTAAAAAGAACATTAGAACAAAATGATAAAATGTTATCTAAGGGTGAAGTTATTTTCAATCTCGATAACACAGTATTTTCGCAATACGAGGTACTCGCTACTAACCAAAATGAAAATCGAATTTCAAATTATAAGAGACCAAATGAAATAAAATATCCAATATGGATGAAATAAAAATTTTAATTTTTTATAGATTCGATATTAAAAATAATACAATACGAGTATACTGAAATTTTCAAATAATTTCTGCTCCATAACAAATTGGACGTTTTATGCATTAAATCGAATCCAATTAAATTTTAAAGTATAGGACTTTTTCCTTTAACAAATAAAAACATTTTTGAATTATTTGTTTTCTTAATATGCTCACACATATCTTAAGACATATTTCATATATAATCAGTTTACATTATTGAGAAAAATTGCATATTTTTAAGAAACAGCAATAAATACAATAACGAAATCGTGCGCTTATACCTTATTAGTATCTATACAGTGCAAAAGTTTCATGGCTTATTCCATAAATTAGCAAAAGACAGTAATTAACGTTAAAAACAGGTTAATTTCAGCAACGTTTTCTGCTATTTTACGCTACAGAAACTGCAAAATACTATAAGTTTTAGAATTTAAAAAGTGTTTGTACTCGTATTTACTACAAAATAATTTGAGAAAAAAAAATCACAAAATAATTTGAGAATATTTTGAGAAGAACTTTGAGGGAGGGAGGAAAACTATAAAAACATTATTTATTTAGAACATTTATTCTTATATTTAAGAACATTGAAAACTTAAATATTTAGTTACGTAGCTTTTAACGTTATGTATGAGTGTATGCATCTCAAATGTATTTTAATAAAGTTGGGTCAAACCAATGGTTTGTAAAGTAGCACGGACAAGTGAAAATACAGCTTTTAAAAACAATCGTCTAAGACCTACAATAATAAAATTACTTTCATTCATATATTCCAAAATATTTCAAAGATTGCATACATTTAGGATAAACAATGTATACAATCTTTGAAATAAAACAGAAAATAAATTTAAAGAATACAACGTTAACATAATGCTCGAATTTAAAGGTTAATTGTGTGAATTGTAATAATTGTATTTTTCATTAGAAATTTGGAAAAACTATCGGTTTCGGTAATATATTGTGCCAAAAATTCAAATTTTAAATGTCAAATTTAAAAAATGTGTCACTATAAATCAAAAAAAGGAATTTTAAGGTCATTGAGAAGCTTTAACTTTTATAAGGGGCGCAGATAGGTAGAAAATTCTTCTACGAAAAAAATCTCTAGTAAAAATCTTATTACGTATTAAATTTCAGTTTCTATCTTCAAAGGTGTAAAAGTTTTGTTAACATGTTCACAAACGAAAGGACGGGCTGAGTGAAACTAATAAGCACTTTTTTGGAAAGGTGCTAAGTTTTTTTTGGAAAGGTGCTAAGAACAGAACATAATGTCGGTTTCACAGCACAATTCTATCTTAATTTTTATATAAAATAAATTAAATTTGCATATTTCAATTCACAAAATCGCATTAATCATTGCGTGCTGTTTTTGACAGCAATAATTTAATTTAATTTAGTTTTTTATATTACTGACGTATACTATTTATGTCAATGTTTTTCCCATTTTTGGCTTGAAATTTATTATCTAATTTTAAAAATATAAAAATTTCATATTTTTAAAGTCTACATTTTGATAAAATAAAAACAGAATGTATTTAGCATACCTCGTCAAATTGACAGAAATATGTTTGTATATTTTTAAGATAAAAATAATTATTTTATCAGTCAAATATTTTTCTGTATGAATTTCTGCAACAGATTTCTATCTAGAATAAAATAGCTTATCAACATTATTCAAAATTTATCGAAAACATGACCTTTTATACATTCGTATGTGATTCTATGTGTATTTGATTGTTTGTTATTCGTATGTCTGTCTTGTATACACACTTTTGAACAAAAGTAACAATTAAATAAATGAAATTTCAGGTGGAATTAAATAAATGTTAGTCAAATTGCGTTCTAAATGATAATATTGGTATACGTTTTGTTTCCATATGCACCCAGACAGTATTTTTAAGTTTCTTTAATAAAAATACATAATCAAAGCACGTTATATGATAGACATATCAGAATTTAAAATATAAAAATTCAGGAAATAAAAATTTTAAAGACAATATTCTATTCACTACCTCTTCGTTTAATTCGATTAATTACACAATGGAAAATTTTGATAATACATTTTGCGATTGCATTTTTAATTTTACTGGTTTTTTTAAAAGGAAAGTCTATGTGAAGAAATCACGACAATACCAGGGCTGCAGCACAACATTCAAGACGAGATTGCTGTACTCCATTAAGTTTTTAAAATTTTAATTTTAGTTTAACAGCTTGACATGTTCATAGTGGACATTTAACATATGTAAGCTGTTTTCCTTACCTTTAGCTCTGTAAAACATACTGTATTTTTCTATCTCATGGTTTAGGTAATATGACTTTCCATCCTTTAATATGATCTTTGGTTGACTTCGATAACTTCATTGGTTTAGGATGTAATCCTTCAAGGCACTTGGCAAAGTGATAAAACAAAGTTTCTTTTCTTATCATAGTCTATGACTTCACAGAATATGAAATCGTTATTTCCTTCTAATCCTCCAAATCTGTTTTGTCATTACGGATTTTTTTTTTACATATACAAACATGACAATGAATTCTATAAGAATTATATCGGTTTTTTTTATAATTTTCTGTTTAAGTTATAAATATGTATGTACACCGAATTGTAATCTTAAAGCACATTATAATGCTTTGGAAAAAATTAATATTTAAATCTCATTTTATTAGCAACCATTAAAAATTTTAAGTAGCCTACTTAAAATTTACTATAAAACTGTAGAAATATTAATCCAAATTTGTATACATATAGAAACATATGTACATACATATTATATTTTTCTATTTTTAACAATACAATTATAGTAAAATGAATTTTACATGGAAAAAAAAATAAAAAACAAAATTGTCTAATTCAACAAATATTTTTTTGGCTGTTGTGAGTCATTTTTAGTTTTTGTTTTCAAAATACAAATTTTTTACATCATGTTAAAGGTTGGAAAATTGTAACAAATGTGGCAATGAAAAACCTTTTATAATTTCGATAAAATCGAATAATATTTTTTTGGGCGACCCATTCCACCCACAATACAATGTCCATTTAATCGTTAACCATTTTGTTTCAATATATAAACATCTAATTCAAAATTAAAAGTAATTATTATTAGACAAAAAAAAATATTGTAAAACATAGGAACTAATTTTGTACATTTTTATTTTGATTATAATATTTTTAAATTAGTAAATTTTCAACGAAATTTAACATAAAAATGTACAAAATTTATTAATATGTATATGTACATACGATCGAAAATACATGATTACATACAATGGTTAGCAAAATTGAAAATGTGTAATAATACTAAATTAGTAACTATAGTTAAATTTGAAAAAGATTTCCAATGATTTGTAAAGCAGCACTTTTCCTGTTCTTAAAAACCATCTACTAGCTCGCTAAATCATTTTTATTATTATTGAATTGAACGAACTTAAGATAAATAGTTACATTTTTTGATGGCATCGCATTTACCTTTAACCATTTTGCATTTATAGAAATTTGCTGAAAATTCAAAATTTACAAATTTGGAGAGGAGATCATTTTGAATGAAGTTGGAAAAAAAGTTATAGTTGAAGAAATTAATTATTTATTAGTTTCAAAAAGCTGCTAAAATTTCAAATGCCTACAACTTAAAACCAAAGAGAAAAACAATGTTAAACATTACAAAAAAAAAACGTTTCAAGATAACCATTTATTTCAGCGACCATTTTGACATTGTTATATTCGATTGAGCTATTTCTGATAGTGGAAGCAAGTCTTTGTTTTTCTGCGTTCGCGGAATTTCAAAAAGTTTCGCCATTTCAGTGCTAAAAATTTTTACAAAAATGCCTTTTTTAAGGACTTCGTATAAATTATTACTTTTAGAGGATGGAAAAGTTTCATTGTGACAAATTAGTTTTATAAATGCAGAGATTTAATTATATATAAAATTTTAGCATTCTATTTCAAAGGCTGTATAAACATTTTGTAAACAGATAGATGGACAGACGGGCGGACTAGAAATTTTTTTTGAAAGAATTTTACAAAGCCATCAGGCAATAAAATAACAGCTACTCTACTCATTATTGTTATCGTATACAACTTATTTAGAATTCAAGCTACTCATAATATTTTTAAATATTTTTGAAAATTTTATACTATAGCTATATGATATATATAATAAGTATATTGAATGTAGTAAGGATAATTAAACTAGAATTTACCAAAAATATTTTCCTTACTACATACCATAAGTACAGTTTAAGTGTAAGTTCGTTAAAATCCAATATATTTAATATTACTCGTATCTAATAATTAATGTTCAATTGAAAGAGATATTGAAATTATTTCTTTAAAATTTCATCAGTGCGTATGCTTTTGTATTTTCTAATAATTCTTAATAATTCAACAATAAATTATTCCTATCTTCCAAATCTTCTTATCTTGTCATCCTTGTGCGATGTTATTATATGACAAGAAAAAATTTCAATACACACATATTTGAAATATTTTGTGAATTCTTTTGAATTATTGACTAGTCATTTTTTCAGTTTCATTTTTTAGTATTTGAAATTAAATATGGTATATACAGTATACCTACATACATAAAATTAGCAGACACATTAATAGAAAGAGAGAAATATTTTTTATAATGAAAGTACTAAACAAAATTTCGGCTTTTAAAGAAAAACTATCACAAAAAATGCCTTGAGTTCTATGT